ATCTATCTATCTATCTATCTATCTATCTATCTATCTATCTATCTATCTATCTATCTATCTATCTATCTATCTATCTATCTATCTAAAATCCTCAATTTGTGATAATAATTGACCTCAGAATTACAGTTGTAAGTTAAGTAGGTCACCATGTGATGAATTCTGTGTCATGTAGATCCAATACTTCCTACCTAATTCTTTCGAACCTGTAAAGAACTGAACAGCATAATACAGAATATTAGCAATAAAGCCCTAGAATTCATAATTAGGAGGCAATACAATGAGATTTCCGCCCTAATTAGCACGTATAGAATCACAGTTTAGATTCCTACCTCATTTTGACTTCAATGAGTCTTAACACATGTAGAAGCTATGGATTGCTTATATATTTTTCAGCATTACCAATTTAGGATATACATTCTTCAAATTCAAATTCCCTTAATGTTTGTAGTGGCCAGTCATTCGGAGATATAGGTGAAAATGAAAGATGATGGGAATACTGTAGATGGTCTAAGAAATATTACAGTCCTTTAAAACCCAACTAAAAATATATATGATATGCTATATAATTATTTGAGTTAATCATAAGAAATAAAGTTGAACATTTTGCAGGGTAGAATTAAATTAAAATATAGATTTTACATGAAACTGGTCACAAGAATATTAATTGTTCAACTTGATCTGCAGTGAGAAATAATTCTTCCTCACAAAACACGTAACATTAATGGTAATTCAGCAAGAAAAGCATAAAATATAATTTCTTTAATGAAATGTATTGCTGGCGACAACAAAAAGACCTTACTATATTTGAAAGTCTAAACTATCAAGCCTCGGTTATTAAGGCTTTTATTGTGGTCACTTGCATTTTATTAAATAGTTATGTTAGAAACTCAGCATTAGTAAATGATCCAATAAATGATCACATAATTAAAATGCTGCTTTAAGGCAGCATATTGGGGTGTTATCACAGTTAGTGATCATATTTTCAGAAAGATTGCTTGGGGTCAGTTGCTCTTCATTCCAATGCACTCTAGGATCCAAACCAGATACACAAAGGGCTTCACCTACTACAGTGGTTTCTCTGAGGCCACGCAGTGACTTTAAAAGAAGGCAGGGTTTCCCTATCCTAAGTCTTCCAACATAGATTGTACACAGTGTACTTCTCCTCTAGGCTACTATTGATTTCTTTACACAGCATATTTTTAGGGATAAGCTCTACACACAAAAGGGAAAACGTTAACCTAATATACCATCCTTGCTTAGTCAGGTTATTCATCTTTATTTGACTAAGTGATCACATATTTAGAAAAAGGGCATATTGTTCCTTGACATCTTGAGCATCTAGGACATACGTAACAGGAGATTTTCTGATAAGTTCGTGGTTCTTTCTTAGATTAGCACTGCCTATCACAATATATACGATGGCATGTATTCAGGTCAATATAAAGGAACAACTCAAAGCATTTTTTTTAGCTGAAGCTTTATAAATTAATTCTCAACAAGTTAA